AATTGTTACGTGCAATTCAAACGTGACGCAAGAGAAAAATATTTCCTGGATGGGGTCGGGGAAGTTTTCTCCTAGCCTAAAATGTCAGTACTCAGATGGCCCTTGGACGAGGATTGATGATTAACGATTTCAAGCTAGAAATATACTGTCCACGACCTCAGTACGATTTAACACAAAATAGAATGCAGGGGACGGATAAACGGAAAGGTATGTTTGTGACAATGTGGGAGGCGTGGTGGCCTCATGGTTAGTGCGCTCGTTTCTGGATCGAGCGGTCCGGGTTCGAGCCTTGGCCGGGGACATTGTGTTGTGTTCTTGCGCAAGACACTTTACTCTCAGTGCCTCTCTCCACCCAGGTGTATAAATGGGTACCGGCGAACTTAATGCTGGGGGTAACCCTGCNGAGTAGAAATACTCCTAGTCGCTTCATGCTACAGAAACCAGGATAAGCTTCGGCCTGATGGGCCACTTGGATCGCATGCAGACTTAACCTTTTACCTTTATGTTTGTTACAATACAATTCTAACACTCTAAACAAAGTGCCATGTCGCATACCGTAGTTTTACGAGAATTCATGTGACCCAAACACAGCTGTTCTTGTTCTCATTCAACCACCACTGTTTTTCATTTCGATGTTTTTACTTTGATAAGAGAAGGAAATAAAAATATGTACTGGGCAAGCTAACTTTAAAAACTCAACCTGTAACAAAACATAAGACATATTAAAGTTCTAAATCGAATGTTCGTGAATGAGATGCCAACTTGATTTATTTACAAGCATACCACTGCTTTCTGTTTGTTTCAACAAATTGTTTTACCATTCCGTTCTGTCTGTCTTCGAATCTCTGTAGCTTCTGGTTAACATTGTCTTTGGTTGTTTTAACAGTAAGCTTAAAATGTTCGCTGAAACGTTTTTATAATGGTTCCAAGACTTTCTAAACGGATACGGGATAGGCTTCCCATTAAAACGAATTCAAAGATTTCTTTATGGACTGCTTTTGCCGTTTAAACGGATGCTTGGATTTTTTAAGATTGCTTTTGCTGTTTTAATGGATGCTTAGATGTTCTTAACGGATACCTCTTTCCGTTTTAACAGATCCAGAAAATTCATGAACGGTTGTGAAAGCCGTTCAAACAGTTTCATCGTAACGTTAAACACTTCGCCTAATGCTTGAAACGGTTTCATGAAAGCTCTAAACGGATTGCAAACAGATAACAAACGGATGATAAATGCTTTTATCCGTTCAACGGATAAGGCGTAGTGTACATTTCCTGTGTAGGTCGCATTTGTTTAAGTTTTGGCGCGCAAACATGGGTGTGACGTAATGATTCACTCAAGGTGTATTAAAACTCATAAAACAAGAAATTATATTTTTTCTTTGCTGCGCGACAAAAGTTGAGAAAATTGAACACACAAAAACAAGTTAATTATTAACTTTAGAGGACAAAACAAAAACGAAAACAACAAAATCCATTCTTTTACTATAGCAGATGACATTTGAGAAAACATCAGAAAATAAAAGTGAAAAGACATCTAAATGACAATTTAATGCAAATAATACAGCGCAGTGAAAGAAAGATGAAAGTTGTAACTAAAAAAGACGACAAAAACGAGCCAATTATTTTGAGATAAATCATATTTCAACTGTGCTAAATTAGTGCCCAGTTAGTTCTTTTCTCAGGAGTTTTGTAGTAGATGAATAAAACTCAAAAAAATGTATTTGAACGAAGCAAATAAATTAAACAAACACGGCCACAGAGGTCGCTGTAAATGAAATATGCAGAAATCCACTGTTAACTTTAAAAACCTAAAATTTCCAAAGAAAGGTAACAAAATGAAAGAAACATGACAGAAAGTTCAATAACAATAAATTTTCATTGAAGATGAGGCAAAAAAACTATCTAAAAGCAAAAAAATGTTCAAAATATCGCAGATGCGCTTCACTGTGTGACAGCATGTTCAAATTAATTCACATGCTAAAGCAAAAGCTTGAGTTTTTGCCGGCAGCTTTTGCAGTCATTTTATCAGCCGTGGCTTTACTAGCTGTCCAAAAATTTGAATTGAATTTCGAATACTATACATTACCATTTTTGTTTTCTAAAGTCAGGAAGCTGCTTTAAATCCGCAATCTGTATTCAAAACCCACTTGAAAGCGCACCGACTTCGTAAACACACGGTTTTATTTACCTTCAAAAGCATCCTTAATTTCCATGTCTTACAAGTTTAGCAGGAGCATGTTCTGGAACGGACAGGCAGGACCTAGTGGCCCACCTGAGATTCCTCAGAGGTCTCCTGTGAAGACTCCAACAAGACCCAGTGGCCCAGAGAGCTAGGTGTTGTTTCTGTTTGATAATTCATTGGTGATGCCAATGTCAATAGCACAATCGAGTGTGAGATCCCGTTCTTTTAAGAGTTGCTTTTGAACGTGCCAAGAGCTGACACCACATACAATTTTATCACGAATACCCAGGGATACCCAGCAAACAGCTCTTCCATCACACGCTGGAAGACTTCTGAGGCAGAAGTGATGCCAATGCGAATACTGCCATCTTTCTTCTTCACTGCTACCATTTGTGAGACCCACTCAGTTGGTTCGGACATGGGTGTGATCGCTCCATTCTTGACCATCCTATCAAGCTCTCTTTTAACACTCTCCTCCATTGCAAGGGGTATTCTGCACGATGGTCTGATCACAAGGGTTACATTGGCATCAAGCCTCATTTTGTAAACAACGGGTATATTGCCAAGATCGCCTTGAAATAAGTCTTTGTACTTGTCAAGTATTGCTGCACGGAAGGCATCAGTGGTATCAACCTCATGGACCTCGCTGTGTAACTGAATGAGATTCAGGCTTAAGGAGTCCATGAGACCAAGCAATGGTGTTACTGGTTTGTCGATGACGTGAAATTCCAGGTTACAGGACATTGACTGCAAATGAACTTCGAGCTTCCCACTGCCATAGGCAACCAAATGCACTGCTTTGTCTTATCAATCTTCTCATTGCGGCTGATCCTTTTGAATGTATTGAGTGTGATCACAATACATTTGATGCCAGTGTCAATTTTAATTTTAATTTCAACTAGTTGGCCGTTGATTTCCATCGTGCAGTAAATTTCACTTTTCTTTCCTGGCTTAGATGTAATCGAATGCACCTGACCAGGTTCGATCGAATGCACCTGACCAGGTTCCATAAAAAAACTCACTCAAACACTCGTGAATTCCTGCAAAAAGTTTTACACCAGAGAGAACAACTGTATCACCACAGAGGCTTACGTGGGCAGAATAATTAAAAACCGGAAAAGTAGTTGTTGTGTATTTTTGGCTGTTCATTTAACACAGCTTCTTGCCATGTAAGCCATTAGGATCCAGTCTCCATACAACACTTGAGTAATGATTGGCATGGCAATGTGAGAAATGATTTTCCCTAACTTGCCAATGTCTCATTAATAAACTTTCATTAGTTTATTTTTCAAAGTCAGTACGGCAAAAATGTCTTCTTAGAGCGTGTGCAAATATGGTTTGTTTACTGATGCATCGCGCAAAAGGCACGTTAAAAACATCTATTGTGCTTTTCAGTAACATGCGACCTCGTTTTTAAGTCAACTCTGAAGTAAATTTTTAACCGTGCACCATGGGCCGAGCACAATTCACATTCTACCTGGTTTTATTTTTTTCTCGGTGACCAGATGCAGACCTCTGCTTGGCCAAATTTCTAATCAGGTAACTTATGATGTTTGTTTGCCAAAAGCAGTTAAAACATTACTGTACTGAAAATTTTATTAATATTTTTTGTATTTTTAGACAAGAGAAGTGAATTATTAAGCTGTTTTATTGAAGCGAGTTCAGAGATTGGAGGAAAAATTAAATATTTGCAAGCCAAGCAAAGAACATGTCAGAACATGCAAGGATTACGTCATTAGTAGGGAAATAACCACCAAACTAAAAGATAGCCATGGATAACACAATTCTTGAATTATGTGACTCTTGTGACTTCTTTGCTAGTCCTTTATGCAAGGGAAAAACAATTAAATTTAATCATGACTTTTAAGAAAGAAAGCTGTTGTTAATAGTGTTCGTATCTTCATGACCATACATATCCTGAAGAAAGTTCCAGATTAAGACTATTATGTCATCACAGATTTCACAACGGCTACGACTGATGGTGCAATAATACAGTTTGTGTTGATCAAGTGATGTGGTGTCTACAGTAATCAATGAATCATCAAGGACTGCTTTGGAATGTGCACTGCAATGCGACTGTAGTGCTAAGAAAACAGTTAAATTTTAAAAGTGCGGTTATAAGACCTAAAAGATCATCTTGTTTGGCTGTAGTCTATCATCCAATTGGACCTCTCAGGAAACATAACTTAGCACATGCATGGAATTACAATATGTATAATTCGTAACTTTAACGATAACCTTGAGATTGCTTGAAAGTGAATCTTAGCACACCCTTCGATAGATCATGCAGATAACAATTCTAGGCCACTCCCCAATCAATACTCTATTCAATTAGTTCATTATCCCTTTTATTTTTCCATTTTAATATATTCTTTTTATAGTTCCTCTATTTTTGTATATATTTGTAGTTGTTATCTTTTCCATTTTTATCCATCGAAGGCTGTAGTCTGACAGCCGAAAGCTCTGAAAGTTTTAACTTTATATAGCCAGTGAACGTTTTTTATGAATTTTTAATATGTTTTGTCCTGGCTACGGTTCTTCTATTTTTAAATGTGAAATTATACTAAAATATTTTATATCAGGCAAACAACCAATAATTTAGACCGAGATGGCAAAGGTGGCGAGCTTATTAATCAGGCCTCAAAAATGTTACATTCACTGCCTGATGGAGTGAATATAGCGTCATATTAGGAATCACTCAACCAATCAGATTGCTGGAAACTTTGTTCAGCTGTGAAATTATATTAAATATTTTATATCAGGCAAACAACCAATAATTTAGACCAAAAACTCAATTATTTAAAGTAACAAAAGATACAGCTTGCATTGAATGCAAATTTTACGTATTGACTGGTATCATCAGGTCCAAAGGTAACAAGCTCTGATGCAGCATGCCTCAGTTTCAAGAGCAAGGCAACATCATCCTTTTTGGTTCCTAAATCCAAAAGGCAGAGGAGTGTTAGTCAGATGTGGTTGTCAGTCATACGCTTACACTGCATGGCTAATACCTTTAAGTCGATAGTCCTCCACATTCTCTGCCTTGACAAGCACTGTCTCCCATGAACCTTCTCCCTATAAGAAAAGCTAGGTGTAGTTGGTAGATAGCTCCACATTATATACCTGTCCCTGTGATAGGAGCCCTAAGATATACCATGTTAGGACTGAAAATATCATATCTGACCTTTCTAGTAGTTGGCATTTTGCTATTGTCTATGAAATTTACAGTACTAAACAAAAGTAATACAAATGATAATGCCAAATATTGTGCCATTTTGGCAATATTTTGCGGATATCTTGGCAATATGTCACTCATATAAGTCACACGTCACAAAGATAATTTCATGAGATATCAGCGATTCCTGCGATATCTCGTTAAAATATCATTCTTGTAAAATTATATTGTCACAATATCTCATCTCACTAAGCTCGACCTTCAATGTTCTCTTAGGTAAAAATGATATATCCAGGGTGAGATGAAATTCAAAAACTCCACTTGTAATTTCAGCTGAAATTTCATCTTACTATAGCCCAAATCTCTGTAGTCTGAAATTATTTTATTTCATAAGGATAATTGTATCAATTTAATAGGCAAATATAATGACAATTAATTAGTTAATTACTTAATTAATTAATAATACAGAGCTTAGATTATCTAAATCTCTTTGATTTCCCTTTTGAATTTAACCTTCTACAATAAAACATTTAGAAACACTTAATGTGTGGTTCCAGAAAATATCCATACCACCCACGGGGGTATGGATATTTCCAGTTCCAGGTTGATCCTCCACCTTGCAGGATTTCCCGTTCCATGGGGCTCATGGTACTCTCCCACCCCCTGGAATTTCCATGATTTTTCCACTTGGGTCTCCCTACCCCTTGGAAATTCCATATCCACAAATAACAAGACTTAAGTCATTAGTAAGTAAGTAAGTAAGTAAGAAATTTATTTACAGAGGGTAACACATAACAGTAAAAAACTGACAAACCAGTGGCCCTCTATCCTAAGTTCATTTATTTTAATCCCCTAGGTACTGTAATAAAATTTATATATTGTAGACAGTGACACAATGCGGCATATTTTCGCAAACAATGATTTGGTCACACAACATACACTATTTTATCATATATTATTTCTGGAGATATTTACTGGGTCAGGATCAAAGCTGCTAGGTAATGAAAGATTAAGGCTCTGAGATTTAATTTCCAAAAAATGACCGTGAAAAAGTCTAGGCGTAAATTGATTTCACGCTAAAAATGTGTTGGAAGTAACAACTGACTTAGAAGCGCTTCACTCCAAACTGGCATAGTAGCTGACTTTTTCTTCATTCAAAGAAGTTTTCATATGAGAATCTAAGAAAGCACTGAAAATTTAAGCTCTTTTAAACAACCCAGACAAAGTTTTAATTTAGGCATAGTCAAAACAACACATCAAATTACTTTACACACGTTTCAGGAAAGGAATATATCAATAAAGTCATGCCCTTTGTCTTTGTAGTTTGTAAATGACAGTAAATTCATTTTAAGCCTTAGTGTTTTTAACTTGTCACACATTTCATGTACGTGAAACATCTACTGCTCCAGCGCTCCTTGCTATCCACAGTTACATATGCTTCAAGACAATTGGACAAATGGCTTTGAATCGACTTTGCTAACTTAAGCCACAGTTAGTAGTCTTCTCTACCAACTATGCTTAAGCAAACTATTAACTACATCAATAACAATGAAAATGTGATAACCTTGTTATGGCAAGTCTTTGTCTCTCACCACCCCTGCGCTGTCGGAAAATGCAGTTTGGAAAAAATTGCCATTTTACATGTAATTGATTTCGGTTACTTAAATTTTACATTTTACAGTACTTTCAAAAAGATTTGTACTGCTTCACGTTCTCTAATGAACTGTCTGCTAAGTGCAACGTTTGAAGTTTGCCATTAGAAAAAGAAAAAACACCCAACATTGTTTCACTCATGTCCACCTCATGCTTGCCCATCGGGCAACCTGTGATAAGAAGGCACTAGCCCGACCAATCGTCTCACTAGTCCCGGGCTATTGGACAGCCTTTTTGTTGTGGCCTGTATATCCCTTGTTACAAACAATAAATTGCGCAGGACTCAGTGAAATATTGCAACTGTTACAAAGTAGCTTCACAACATTTAATGTGACATACAAGTTTAAGCAGTTATCGCTGATATATCACGTTTCTTGCAATGCATATTATTATTAATTTTTTTCTCAGTTAGTGAGCAGGAGGAATTCAACAAATCCTGCAATCTGATTGGTTCCGGGAGCAAGTGAAATTTTCCCATCCAGGCTACTCACAACGGCCAGAATCGTTGGGTTGATCTATTTTGTGAACAAATTCGCAGTAATCTTCGATCCTTTGCCTTTTTAACACTTCCATCTACAATTAATCAACCTACGACCAGAGGGAAACTTGACTGAAATTAACTCATTTTTGACTTAAGATTGTGTGGCAAAAGAAACAAAGGATTATTCCTAATTACAGCGCCAAGCTACAAACAACCAAACAAACTCTCACAACTTCAAAACACTGTTAAATTTGCTTGCAGTAACTTTCGTTTCCAATTAAAAGTGAACAGACATAAACTTTGTTGTATGTAAGAGAATTTATGTGTAATACACTCAACACATGAAATAGTTAGATACAAGATGTCATACAACTTGTAAACCTTCTCCTCAGGGATGGGGGTACTCCCCAAAGTTTTGGTGTGGGTGTGCAGCCAGAACCCCCAACCCAAAATCTGCGATTCTCCTTATCCTATTTCAGACCTGAGTGAAAAATTAATATCCAAAGTTTAGAGCTGTGTATCTTTACCTTTTCTAATATATATTTATGATAAAAGACTAAAGCCATCAATACACTGCGTTCAATTATAGAGAAAAATAGCACAGATAGTGCGGGTGTTGAGTAAATAAAATGATCGCTCTATTGACGGCATGTTTACATTTTCCAATCCTTGTGCGCATGCTGAATTGCATCAGCAAAAGCGCGCGCGAAAACTGTGTTCAGCCACCTTAAGTACAGATGATCCAAATTTTCTAAGGTACGGGGCTTCGCTCATGCACCTTCGGCATGCAGGAGCTCCGCTAAAAATAGTTTGTTTTGAACATGTTATTAAATCCTTTGATTCATTATTCTTTTATCCATTTATGGCAATGCATGACAAAATCCTACAGTAAGTGACTGTTGTGTGACAGACAATTTAGTCCACATCGAACGGCACTACATTCAGCATGAGCATGGAGAACAGAACATAAGTATTTCCCTTCAGCAAGCAAGGGACTGACGTTGGACAGCTTCACTACTTTGACGGGTTGCTGTTTAAGAACAAGGGATAGGAATGTGGTGGATTATCTTGGATTCATTAGTTGAATTTCAGTAAGGAGATGATGTACTTTGCCGATTCGTACTCCAGGCATCACAATGGTTATCGTGTAGGATTCTGAATACACCAGTACTTAATATATTTGAATATCTTACAGAAGGTGAACTAAACATGACTTTTCTGCCATAGCTTAAGTCCAAATACCGAGGAAATCAATTGCAAGAAGACATTTTCATGTTCCATTTGATTATCTGGTCAGAGGCACTTGCCTATTGTTTTTGTTTCTAGCAGGTTAGTGTTGTGATTATCACGATTTTGAGAGCGTTTGTACTCAGCGTTGATGAAAAGCCCGAAAATAATTTTTATACCAGGTTTTACAATGACATTTCCTCTTTCGCGATGTCAAAATTTTAGGTGTTTCGGTGTTTTACTGGGTAGCGAATTTGCTAGGATCTATGGTTTGCTGAAGATCCACAAGGCCGACACACCGCTTAGGCCAATTGTGTTGTGTGTCAACACCTTTGCATACGACCTGTCTGCTTTCTTGGCTAACATAT